ATTTGAAGTCCAACCGCTAAAGATATTATTTAACAGACATAATGCCCCCACCATATTAAAATCAATTTAATGATTAAAATAACAAATACTTATTTAATAAAAAATGCAATATTGATTTTGCACATATATATATATATATATATATATATATATATATATATATATATATATATATATATATATATATTTCCAGTTTCCATTTAGCCTTTTGTTTGCGAGAACTATTAACAAATCACAAGGCCAATCGTTTCAAAAAATTAGAATTTGCCTCCGGAAAGAAATATTTACGCATGGCCAGTTGCATGTTGCATTCTCAAGAGTAAGAAATCCTAAGAATTTATTCTTCGCTGTTAAAAAGGAAAAAAAAAAGAAAATTTCTTAAACAATAGTGTTTACCATAAATTCCTACAAAGTTAAGTTAAATTAATGAAATTATTAATCTGGGAATTAGGGGTTTTGTCAAAGTATTTTCCCAAACAAATCAGCTTATTCAAATTTCATCGAATGGTTTGCGAAATTGACTTACGAAATTATTTACAAAAAAAAAGCTTAACTTAAACAATACTAAATTACCAAAATATTTTAGTTTTATAAATTCCATTATTTACACGCGAATAATTGGCTCAGTCTTTTTTGTTCTTATCACAACATTTCGGTCCATATATAGTCCGGCCTTCATCAGGTGCATAATGGCCGAAATTCGTTTATTTCCGCGGATGAAGAGCAAATAACTCTTCAGCTCTTTTCTGCTACTCATGAAACCATGTCTGCGCCGCTTGTTTGTTTTGGCACCCCACTCGCATAAACTTTAGGGTGCCCCGTGTCACCATGCACTGTTGGGCAGATCGTTGGCTTGTGCTAACATGATTCGTTGGTATTGTCTTTTCAAGGCATTCAACATCTGGATTGTGTTCTATGTGCGATGTTGATGAGCGATAAGATTGGTTGATTCTTCTGGCTTTAAAGCGTTCTAAACATAATACACCTTTCGTTTAATTTATGCTTCCGACTCCATACTGCGCCGACATCCAGCGATAGATTTCCGTAGACTACCCTCCATCTGGTCTTAGAATGCGATCTATAGCGCGTTGTCCCTCTACGGTGAAATCGCTGAATGGAGTGTCCATACGTCTGAACTTGTTCCTCTCCCTGGCCCTCGACTGAACTTTGTAATGCCTATGCACGGCTGGGTACCCGTCCTCACTTTTGTTCTCGCCCGTCAGCGCTCTTTGCTGTTTTTACCGCTAAAATTGTTTTTACTTGCTGATTTACCCTAGTATATTGCGAAAGAACAATCTTGGTCATGGATACACAAAGGACACCTGAAGAGAGGAAAGAAAATTTTCCATTGTCTCGACCCAGGACTTTCCAGAAAAACTCAAACAGTGTTTTTTTTATGCCCATTTAGAGTTCGGTTTTACTATATAATGTCACTGCTTGGATATTAGCTAAAGTCCAAGAGTTAAACTTGATGTGACCTATAATCAGATGCTGAGAGTTATTCTTGAGATCTGTTTGAGACAACATCCAACTAAATAACAGTTCTATTGAAGCATCCATGGTATTTCTACAATAATAAGTGATCGCAGAATGCGCTTTGCAGGGCACTTCTGGGAAGCAAATAAAGAACTCGCGAGTGATCTACTGCTCTGGAGAACCTATCCAAGGCAGAAGATGGACGGATCAACAAGAAATCAACTTCATTGACCAGTTACATTATGACACAGAATACCATCCTAATGACCTTACGATCTTGATGCAGGACCGTGATAGACTCAGGAAAGTCCGAGATAAGCAAGCCCGAATGAAGTAAGTTATTAGGTTGGTGCAAAAATAATGACGTAATAATGTCGTTTTGACGTATTTCTTAACGTCAAAAACGACATTATTACGTCATTATTTTTGCACCAACCTAATATTAAATATTGTCTTTACTTACCGTTTGTTTAAAAAAAATCGCGCTCCTCTGGAAGTCTTATAAAATATCCAACTAAATAAGAGTTCCATTGGCCCATCGTTGGTATTTCTACAATCATAAGCGAACGCAGAATGATCGCACTCTTCTGGAAGTCTTATAAAATATTGAAATGATTTAGTTATGTGCCATGCATGATACACGCTTAGGCGATCATCTATCTTTTCCATACATGAATGACGAGGCAAATTTTTCTCGCAGTATGCTGCTATTTCTTTCTGCGATAGACCAGTTGCCATCGAAGTCTATAGAATCCGGTCTGTCCTGCTATGTACCCATAGTTGGGAGGAGGAGAAGAGGATTCTTCCCTTTCCTGTTATAGTGGAACACACCAATTCTATAGTTAAAAGACACTCCCACCTATAGTAAGTAGGTTTAGTAAGAGTAACGTGGGGGGGGTGTCAGTCAGTTGGTCGATGTCGAACGATGTCGGATACTAAAGTATCAGCGACCATAACAAGATTACTCTGCATAATACCTATTATATGAAGTTCCTACCATTTTGTACGTCGAACTTAGTACAAATACAAGCCTCCACTGTGAAATCACTCCACAACATTTCCCAAGAGTATCAGCACGTAAATGAATATCAGTTAGTTATGTGCCATGCATGATAAACGCTTAGGTGATCATGTATCTTTTCCATACATGACTGACGAGGCAGATTTTTCCCCGCAGTAGGTTGCCATTTCTTTCTGTGATAGGCCAGTTGCCATCGATGTCTCTAGAACGAAAAAGTGTGCAAAACGACCTGGGTTTGACCACGTCTAAAAGTGGTATCAGAAAATGTCCTTAAGAAAAAAATCACAGTATAAAGGGGATATTGACAACCAGATAGACCACTTCATCCAATCAATAAGACCGGATTTCATCACTGGTAATAAGGAAAAAAGAACCTGCCAAATTTTGAACTGGTCTGAGCTGGCTGAATACTGTGTGAACATGAAGGAGAGTAAGAAATAAGAAAAGTACTATGGCCTTGCTCGAGGGCTGAAAAACTATATTGTGCAGAGCAGATAGTTTAACGCTTCTTGTTTGTGAAATGCAGCATTTGAAAAACCTTTGTTGAAAAATCAATCTTCCAACGTTTTCAATACAGGTTCCGTTCCTACAAAGCGTCGTAACGCGACTTCCCGTGTAAGTCAGAACATACCCGGGATTATCCGCGAATAACCACTTACACAACGCCCCTTTACTAACGAAATAATCTAGGATATAACAACATATTTCTCTGAAATATGTTAATAAAATTTGGACTAAAAGAACACATGGAGTATAGAAATATAATACATTTTTATTGCTTGAAAACAATTCAATCCAAGCAAGGCATACATGCCACTAGTATACAAGGAGTTACAGGGAGTGAAATTGAAAGAAACGACTGAGTATAGGGAAGATTGAAGAAAGGACAAAGATGTACGAGATTTAAGGAGAGAGAAGATGGCGATTGAAGATTGTAGTTATCAGGGAAGCAAGTAAATGAAAGGAAGTTCCACAGGCAGGAGGCCCGAGAAACGAAACTCTTACAGTAAAAATGGCATTGGCTTTTAGCAATTTTAACAGTAAAAGAGTGCGATATAGATACCATACTATGAAATACTTTCGAAATATCGTTAAATATTATTAAAAACTATATCGCTTTTTTTTCTATTTCTATTCTTAAAAGACAATTTTCTATGAGAATTGCAAAATATTGGGTAAGTTATGTGCAGCCACTTTATTTATTTATTTATTTATTATTATGAATATAATCATTATTATTATTATTATTATTATTATTAAGGAATACATGATAAAACCTATCACGAAGACCTGTTCCGAAGTGAGTTAGTAAACTTCTTTTGACAAACGAATGCAACTTTCAATTTTGGGGTGATTACATGAAACACAAAATTTTCAACTATATATATATATATATATATATATATATATATATATATATATATATATATATTTAAATATATGATTCCTTCGCTACATAACAGTTTTCATATTTCAAAAACAAGAGCCAAAAACTTCAATATAATTATTAAAATTAAACTGAATTAAAATATCAAACTCTGTTTCATCCTCAAGCAAAATTTTTGGAATCATATTTTTAAAAAATAATTATAATTTATGCTCTACTTATGTATTGAGCACATTTATTTTAAAAATAAAAACAAAAAAATACTAAAGAACTTCGGATTATTTACTTAATGTATTCTTTCCTATTTTTCTATATATTTGCATATATATATATATATATATATATATATATATATAGTGATCCACAGACAGACTTTTTCACTGTATCACAGCTCATCGGTGTGGCTAGACGTCCGGTTGACTCTAGATAGGACGGAAACACGGCTGAATTGGTGTCTTTCGAAGAATCTAGCCGTAAGCCGTTGATATATATATATATATATATATATATATATATATATATATATATATATATATATATATATATATATATATATATATATATGCTTATACCCACTGACGAGTAGACAAATGGGTCCTTCTACGAGACACTGGAGTCAGGATGCTGAAGGTAACATCAATCAGCTTAGTGACAAACTTTATATATATATATATATATATATATATATATATATATATATATATATATATATATGAACTAAACTGAAAAGTTTAAACATGCTTAAAGGAGAAAATAAATACTTGTGTGATATCCACCCAGAATAACTTTCTTGGGGCCATGACACAAATGTGCGTAATAAGAGCTGAATATTTGTATGAAACGACGATATGTGATGAGAAAGCATATAGCCTTGAGCACGTTGCCCGATGTTAATTGAGTCTACGTGAAAAAGAATGATACGAGACAGAAGAAGAATCTCTGTTAGGAATTGAGGAAGTGGCCTTACTAAGACCAAACCAAATACTGTGGTCACTTGATATAACAGGATCTCTGCTGAAATCATCCAGTTATTTGGAAATTTAAAGGAGGAAGATGATTACGATAGATAGATGAAACGAGGAAGGAAGAATACTACTAATACTACTACTACTAGAATTAATAAAAAGAAAAAGAAGTAGTAGTAGAATGAGTTGATGAACGAGATGAATTAGATAGATAGATAGATAGATAGATAGATAGATAGATAGATAGATAGATATAAATGAACTGAGATAGAGAGGGAGATACGTAGATAGGAATAAAGTGAGATAGATAGATAGATAGATAGATAGATAGATAGATAGATAGATATAAATGAACTGAGATAGATAGGGAGATACCTAGATAGGAATAAAGTGAGATAGATAGATAGATAGATAGATAGATAGATAGATAGATAGATAATGAAGCGAGGAAGGAAAAATGGGAAACAGACTATTACTACTACTACTTCTATTACTAATAATAATAACAATAATAATGAGAAGAAGAAGAACAAGAAGAAGATAGTGAGAGATGAAATGGGGAAGGAAAATGACAAAGGAATAATAATAATAATAATAATAATAAGAAGAAGAAGAAGAAGAAGAAGAAGAAGAAAGAGGAGGAGAAGAAGAATATGAAGAAGTAGAATGAGTTGATGAACAGAATGAATTAGAATAGATAGATAGATAGATAGATAGATAGATAGATAGATAGATAGATAGATAGATAATGAAGAGAATGAGATAGATAGATAGATAGATAGATAGATAGATAGATAGATAGATAATGAAGAGAATGAGATAGATAGATAGATAGATAATGAAGAGAATGAGATAGATAGATAGATAGATAGATAATGAAGAGAATGAGATAGATAGATAGATAGATAGATAGATAGATAGATAGATGAAACGAGGAAGTAATATTACTACTGATACTACTACTACTACTAGTAATAAGAAGAAGAAGAAGAAAAAGAAGAAGAAGTAGAATGATTTGATGAACGAGATGAATTAGATAGATAGATAGATAGATAGATAGATAGATAGATAGATATAAATGAACCGAGATAGAGAGGGAGATACGTAGATATGAATAAATTGAGATAGATAGATAGATAGATAGATAGAACAATGAAGAAAGAATGGGAAACGGACTGCTACAACTACTAATATTCCTACTACTACTACTATTATTAATAATAATATTAAGCAGAAGAAAATGAAAAAAGACGAATAAAAAAAAAACAAGAATTGGAAGTAAAGAATGCTGAGAAAGATAAAAATAAACAAAAGTTAAAATTATATTCACATTGCAGAAGCCAAAATGAAACGAGAGAAAAGAAAGAAAAAATGAAAAAGAAGACGAAAGAAGACGAACGAGAAGCGGTGCTGGGGAAGAGGAGATAGATAATGGTTGGGTTTTAGAAATGAGAGGAGTTAAAAGAAAGAAAGAAAGCAGTAGATAAGTGGGTAAACAGGAATGAGAACTTGAAGACAATGAAGAAAGAAGAAAAAAAAATAAGATGGACGAGAAGTGGAGGGAAAGAGGAGATAGATAAATGTGAGTATTCGAAAGGGGAGGTAATAAAGTTGAGCCTGATGTTGTAGAACATGAAAAAATAGAAGGAAATATCAAGAAGAACCAAATAAAAAAATTAATCTTGTAACTATGTTATTTTGTTTTACATTTTTTTGCGCATACAACTTTATTATATTCTCACCTTCTTCGTCCTCCAATTTAAAAAAAAAATAGACACGAAAACGTAGCCAAAAATTCAATTTGAATATATTTGCCATCCTTCCAGAATAAGTAAAATCGAGAAAGAATTTTTCAAAAAGCCCTAAATTCTGAAAAATAAGTAAAATAAATAGGACGTGAACTTAAAAAAAAATACATTGCTGAATATTTTATTATTATTATTATTATTATTATTGTCAGCAACGCAATAGATTTATCCTCATCTATCACCCAACAACTCAAGACATATTTGGTGCCCCAATCTTAGCCCTTGTCTGTAATGCCCACCATATGCATCATTATCCATCTACTCATTCCTCGCCGTTTCTGCTTCTTTTTTTGCAGACGACACTGAGGCAAAATCTTTCTCTCACCCAGAACCATAGACTCCAGAGCCAATTCAATAAGCATTTTTATATATCTATTTGATAGTTTATTGCTAAAATCTGAGAAAATCGGCTACTTGTAACCGCCAGTTTGCAGAAAGAGACCCAACTAAAGTAATTTGACTGCCGACGTAATATTGGTCATAACGTGAAGCGAAAATTGAATGCAATAAAATATATCTTAATGCGATGGAGGTTTCATCTTTTGGTTCTGGATTGTCGTTCTACGTACGTCGGTGTCAGCAGAATTGGGTTTGGTAATATTTTCACAGTAAGTTTCACCCTGTACATGGTCAAGGGGCCACTTTGTGTAGAGGGTTAAGTTAAGTGTTAGTTTATAAGGATAGGAGGGGAAGATAAGGTTAAGACTGCACATGAACAGATACTAATGACCATAATTGTTTTGACTTGAAGAGTTACTGCATTCTGTTTATTTTGAACATGCATATAGTAACTATATCTGTTGTGGTAGGTCTTGAGATGTAACAATATACAAGCGAGAGACAGTCTCTGGGGTGGGCATTATTAGATTTTTTTTTCAATTCACCACGTGCTATTTAAAAGAACAAGCATTTTTTAGCACAGCATTACAAGTCGCTATTTAATTCATTCATCATAAGATTCCAGGCCTTAATTATGTACCTATACTTCTATCTATCTATCTATCTATCTATCTATCTATCTATCTATCTATCTATCTATCTATCTCTCTCTCTATATATATATATATGTGTGTGTGTGTGTGTGTGTGTGTGTGTGCAGGTATGTAGAAAAATAGGAAAGAACACGTTAGGTAAATAATCCAGGCTTCTTTAGTATTTTTGTTTTTATTTAAAAAAAAAAAACAGTGCTCCATACAGAAGTAGAGTTTAAATTATAATTATGTTTAAAAACATATGATTCATTCGCTACATAAGAGTTCTCATGTTTCAAAAACGAGAGACGAAACCCTCGATATAATTATTAAAATTAAATTGGATTAAAGTAACAAGCCCTGTGTCATCCTCAAGCGAAAATTTTAGAATAACCTATTTTGAAATGTACGTATCGTTATAAGCATGTTCATTCCGTACTATGGAAACGGCTGGGGCGACCATTTTTGATAAGGGGCCTAAGAGTTAATTTTTATCCACATATCAGTCACCTCCAGGGAGAGGTCAAGCTGAGGTAGGGTGGGGTGTCTATTTCAAAGCGAATTATATCTTTCTTGTACGCGCATCGTCTGTTCATTCACAGAGAAAGATAGATTTTGGAACCATAGCATGTTGTTAAGTGTCTGGATAATTTTGTTTTATTTTATTTTATTTATTTATTTATTTTCAACAGGCTGTTTCACATATAAATGCATCGCACTGAACTACAATTTGTTTTCTTGACGACTTCGTAAAGGGTTTTTTTCCTTTAATGATTGGGTTAAGCTTTTTAACCCTTTATTAAACTATGAAATTGTTATGGGACCTTACCCATAATAACATAATGGACTGTTCCATATGTAATAAATACTGCGCCTCAATAGGAAGCGGGATTTCAGTCCGAAGTCGGGCTACCGGCTGATCGGCTGATCGGTTGAACTCCCTGCCTTCGGGCGGGGAGGAACCCGAACGAGGCTACGCCGAAGGGCGGAGTCTCTTTCGGGGAGGTAAACTGACCCTGAACCCATTTATATGGGTTCAAAGGGCATATTTTTAGCCGAGCCCACGGGCTCGGAGATCCCACGTTAAACCGGCCTTGTGCCACATGATGCCCGCGTGGTGAGGTGACTAAATACCCTTCCGTCTGAAGTCTAGAGTTCCGTCTGAAGTCTAAAGTTCAGTGTGAAGTATGGAGTGAGGTCCGTCAGGGTTCTGTCAGTCAGTCAGAGCGAGCGAGTCAGTCAGTCGAGTCAGAGGCAGTCCGATACAGAGTCGCGTTCAGACAAATACTACTAAACCTGATTGTTCGTACTAACACTTTTCTACCTCTCTGGATATATTCCTGTTTGTAATATATCTGTGTTATTCCATATCCGTATTCGAGTTCTTCTTTATTGGTTCTACCTTGGACTATCACCGTGGTACAAGGAACCGGACCATAACAGAAATTTGATTTGTTTTTATGCTAATTATTTAATGCGAATAAACGGTTAATGGTTACAGTTGAATCAGACGAGAGAACTGTAGTATTAAAAAGTGCTCAATATATAAAAAAAAATAACATGTAGAGCTTTTAACTTTAAAAATCTGTTGGATCCGCTAATTTGGTTTCAACCTTACCGTATCCTCCGACGATTTTTATATAATGACCTCTTAACGCATTATTTATGAAAGCTATATTATCTTTTTAAAAATAAATAATCAAACGAATAACATTTGGGTGTAATAGAAAGGGAGGCGGAGGATGTGAAAATGGATAGGAGAAGACGAACAGGGAAACGAAGAAAAGCAGGTATATTATAATAATAATAACATTTTTTATCCAGCCTCATATGTGCTTAAGAGTAATTTAGTAATATATAAGCAAGGACTCAAAACAGAATTTCTGGTTCAAAAGCTTTTAGAATCTGGAAATGTCATTGTTAATTTTTCTTGTTGGCAGGGGTTGAATATATTCAAAAAGAAATAAAGCGTTAAGATGTCATTTGATAAAACTAGGCTGAGGATTCCGAATAATGTAAATAATGTACTTTAAGATAATCGAAAGTATGTCCATGAATAAATGTCCACCATTAATCTTGCGTCAGTCTCATGGGTTATATTTTAAAATTTTTTTAAAAGTACTCGTAATTTCTAGATGGAAATTAGTTTCTTTTGCTTTTTTGTCATCCTTTTGTCTTCTTCCAGGTGTCATGTCAACCCACCTGAATAACAAAGCTATGTTTTCATGAGATACGTTTTTGTAATATACCGAGTGTAACAGCAAAATTGCCCAAATCGTGTAACAGCATGCGATAATTGCCCATCCCACAAAAAAGTTTACTATCTAAAAAGACCACTAAACAAACTGCGTTTCTTTTTTCCAGGTTTTCAGATACGACGTTTAGGCATCTTGACACCATTTTTCATAAGAATCCCTAAAAAGGCTTTTCAGTTATTCAGCTAGAAAAAGAACAGGTTAAAATAGTTTTGTGTCAGCTCCACCATGCCCTCCCAACTGAGCAATGGTGAGAGGAAAAAGATCATTCAGACCTTCTTTAATGGTACCAACTTTTATACTGTGTCTTCCAACTTCAACGTCCATTAAAAACACATCCAGAGAACAGTGAATTAGTGTAAAAAAGAGGGAACGTTAGAGAGAAAAAATAGATCAGGTAGTCACAACAGCATCATTTCAACTTAGAGCTAAATACATTCCCATTGTTCAAAGTAGTGTTATAAAAACTCGGTGAATTCCAGTAAGTTATCTTTAATCATTTCTAGGATACAATGGTTCAAAGCTTAATCTAAAAATTGGACAATTTTACTATTACATGATTTGGACAATTTTGCTGTTTCATCTGGTATATATATATATATATATTTCCTCTCTGATTTATCATGTCCCAAATACCTACACCAGTATACCATTTATGAAAACCGTATTAACAAACGAATTCCCACATACCTTAAAAGCAAATAACCCCACTTCGATCCATATTGAAAAACATTTTTACCAGCGTCACATTTGAAGAAACATTCAACAGAATTAGTGACTGCATCTAAAAACACCCGTCACTCCTTCCTCCCAAAATTCGAAAAGCAACTCTTCGGAAACTATTCTCCCACCCCGTACCACGAAATCCCTATTCTATGATCCTAATGACAACACCTACATCGTAACTAATTGTGTCAGCATGGGAAACTTCTTAGGTCATTCTTTGTCTATCTTTTACATGTCTTATATTGTCAACAAAGTGTTTGAATCAACTGACAAAAAATAAGGTACATTGAAGACATTTTTGTTTTGATATAAAATCAACTTTGGGAAAAAACCCGACGCTAAAATTTGGATACAAACTCATGGTTAATAACAAAATCCCATTACCTGACGTCGATATGGAACTAAAATCCAAAATATTTACTACATACTCGCATGAAAAAAAAAACACCATTAAGAAATCTTATCTTCTAAACCAGGAGTCGGCAATCTACGGCACGCGTGCCACACGCGGCACACCAAGCAATTTCCAATGGCACGCAGCCGCAAATGACATCACGAAGTCCGAACCAATAGCTATTACAAGATAAAAAGGATATTTAGCCATTTCAATTTTCATATATACTAAAGTCTATATACTGTATATTACCATTTTTTTTTTTAAGCCTTACGCTCTGAGCAAGGCGGGAAGCCATTAGGATGCAGGAGGTTGCAGAAGATTTGGACCGAGAGCAGATAGAAGAAAGGATGAGGAGAAGGATAGTGGATAGATCAAGGTAACTAGAGGTATCGATTGATATTACATTTGAATAGTTGGAGATTATAGCTCTCAGGGAAACAGTAATAGGAAAGGGTGTTCCACAGGTGAGAGTTGTGAGATATGAAGCTATTGGAGTAGAAGAGACGGCTACATTTAAACGTTTCTACAGTGAACGGGTGCGAGCGAGATGCCAGTCTAGTAGAACGCTTAAATTCATGAAGTCTGAGCAGTCACCATGAAAGTATTTATAATAAAGACAGAGAGAGGGACGGCACGTTTGTGAGAGAGCGACTGCAGAAGA